GCCCCATCCCCGCCTCTTCGACCTGTTTGTTTCCTCTCCACCTATCCTCTCCTCTATCCCTCTTCTATCCGCCTCCCACTCTCTCCCTATTTATTTCAAAACCCCCTTCCCCTCCCCCTCTTCTGATGAAGGGTCTAGGCCCGAAACGTCAGCCTCTCTGCTCCTATGATGCTGCTTGGCCTGCTGTGTTCATCCAGCCCTGAACCTTGTTGTCTCGGATTCTCCAGCATCTGCAGTTCCTACTATCACTGGCCTTTCAATTCTACTTTCTGCTTAAGAGTAGCCGAAGTTAATTAATTAAGGAAATCACCTAAACTGTTTTTCTGTACCTGGCGTTAACTAACCTTTTCATTTCAGAAGCATAAAAATAGGGCACCTCACTGTGACTTGATGCTGGATGCAATTTTGAACAGAGTGCTGGGATTTTATTGAATATAGGAGTTAGATGAAGAGGAGAGAGATGTGCTGTTACTTTGCTTTCTCAGTAATCTTTTCACACTGTAGGAATTGGTTCTTACATTAGTACAGGGGAACATAATAGCAGTTTGGTGTGTATCTAGTAAGTGATTAATGTTTATTTTGTTTCCAAAATTTAAAATAGTACAGGAACTGGTGGTAAGATTCAAGAAATAAATAACTGAATCAAATAACTAAGTCATCAAAATGCATTAAGGTTGATGGAATAGGTGTGTTGTGTTTAGATTGCAGAATGTAGAAGCTCTGAGGTACCAGTGTGATCTGGGGCAAACACATCTGCAGTAAGTGTTTGCAGCTCATGCAACATTGGCTCAGAGTTGATGAGCTGGAAGATTAATAGCAGAAACTGTGAAACACAACTATCTTTATTCCAGGAGGCTGTCACACCTCCTGATCTCCTGATGTGGTCAATGGTCAGGAAAAGGAGGGTGTGACCATTTTTGACGCAGGTAAGGGGACACAGAGGGTGGGAGCCTTATCACAATTATCCAACGGTTTTGATGATATTTCAATTTGTTCGGATGAGATTGAGGTCTGCAGGGCACATGAGGAAACCAATCAAGTTGGAGAGCAAAAAGGAATATCATGGTAGTAGGGAATAGTATAATGAGGGGTGTTGA